CCCGTGTTGGACTTCTGATCTCTAGAACTTTAAGATAATAAACCTGTGGTGTTTTAGGCACCAACTGTGTGGTAATTTGCTACAGCAGCAATTAGAAACTAATACAGGTACCAGGTATAGAAAATCATGAACAGGGGCCGGCCCCGTGGCATAGCAGTTAAATGCGCATGCTCCGCTGCTGGCGCCCCGGGTTCGGATCCCGGGCACGCACTGACGCACAGCTTGTCAGGCCATGCTGTGGCGGTGTCCCACATAAAGTGGAGGAAGATAGGCACGGATGTTAGCTCAGGGCCAGTCTTCCTCAGCAAAAGAAAAAAAAAAGGAGGATTGGCATGGATGTTAGCTCAGGGCTGATCTTCCTCAAAAAAACAAAAATCATGACCAAATATCGAAAATCCTAATCATGTTAACAATGTATTTTTAATGTCCCTTCTAAGGAGAATGGAGGGAAAAGATGGGTGAAGGGACAGACCTGTGTGATACTCTGGTAAAAGTCCAGGTGACAAACACTGCAATGGGCTGGCTAGTGTCATTAACGTCCCGGTGTTGGAGGTCTGGCTCGGACTGGATTCATGGAAGAGTCAACACTGTACTGTTCCAGTAACTCCATGAGAGGTTTGTTTCGAACTAAGAGCATCTTCTCCTTCTCTAAGGAGTCACTTCATGTGTCACTTCTAATAGCATCTTATTTTATGACCAGAGTGCCCGTGTACTCTTCAGTGACCCATACACTCTGGACCTCAGCTTTCTCATCTGCAAGGCAAGGAGGTTCTACACTTGACCTTGACCATGCATCAGAACCACCTGGATGGCTCGTTAATACACAGATTGCTGGGCTCCACCCCCAGAGTTCCTGATTCAGTAGGTCAGAGTTGGGGCCAGAGAATTTGTATCTCTAATGGGATCCCAGGGGAGGCTGATGCTGCGGGTCTCTCACATCATATCACACTCTGAGAACCACTGTACAGAATTAGAGACTCTCCTCTCACACTGAAAAGATTCTGGTATTCTCCTGCCCTGCATCTTTCCCATTAAGAGCTGCCCGGACTTCTCAGTTCTTAGCAGTCTGCTCTGTGTTACTCTGAATCTCTTCCCTTGGTATAGCATTTCAGTTGTCCATTCTGCCTAATGTTGAACAACAGTCCCCAGACTAGAGCTGGCCGTATAAAGGAAGTAGCGACAGAATATACCTAGAAAGCCAATCTCCTCCCCGACCCCACCTCCTATTCCCTGCCCCCACTCATCACTTAGCTAACTCGGAGACAGAGAAGCAGCTCCTGCCATCTGGGATCCGGCTGGGCACTCTCCTGCTGAACACAGACAATTCCCCAGAACACCAACATCAGACAAGGCCACTCTGTGACGAGGATGGGACAAGACAAAGACAAGACCACTCCATAATCATGTCTGAACTTGGAGAACACGTGAACCTTGTGCAAACCACAAACGTCACCAAACACCCCCCAGTCCTGGCTGAGATGAGTGACTGCTGCTTCTTTACCAACCACAGCCTCTGTCTAGTCTTCCCTGCTTCTCAAGGAGATTTACTGAGACACCCAATCACGGAGTTCCCCCTGCTTTCCGACAGCATCCAATCCAGAGCAACGCCCGGCTACCTTAAATGCTCCCCAAGGGGCACCGCCACAGGCCCCAGTCCTCCGTGTGGTCCTTTCTGACACCCACTTGCTGCGATGCCCACTGTTCCCCAGAGTGTGCGTTCTCCCTCGCTGCAAGAAGAAACAGGCTTGTTCCACTCCAGGGGTGTTCCTGGGGGCTGTGGCTGGAGGGTGGTGACGACTCAACTTTCAGATTTCAGCTTACACACAGTCTCCTCAAAGACATTGTCCTTACGCCTCTCCAGCCAAAGTCAGATTCCTCCTCTCTCATCTCCTTCCAGGAGACCTACCATGGCTTATAATTACATATTGTCATGAGTACTGCATTCAAGTCTACCTCTTCCACCAGACTGAGAAGCCCAAGTCGGCGGGGCCATGTGTGTTGTGCGCCTGTTCCTAGCACAATGCCTGGCTTTACAAAGCAGGAGGTGAATAAATATTGGATGGATGGATGAATGGATGGATGGACAGACAAATGGATGAATATTGACCATTGTATGCAATCTACTTTAAAACAATTAGAAATACAAGAGTTGATGAGAGAATGTCGGTAATGCAAGAACTGAAGGGGTCAGAGAAGAAATAACCAAGGTCTGTGAACTAGGACACAGGCAAGGTTTTGCCTGGGCTGTGGTGGAGAGAAGCGGGCCAAGTAAAGGTCATGAACCACACAGGAGGAGTCTTGTCTTCCATTTCTAACTTGAGACTGGGTGTGGAGGCCAACACGTTATATTCATTTTCGCTTTAGTTTAGCATAAAGCAGTCTAACACCAAAACAATACATTGCTAAAAACAGTTCAAACTTGCTTGTTACTCTGGAATTCTTTAAACAGAAATCATTTGATGGGCTTGTGAATCCTTCACTACTCACAGATTTGGGTCATAATAATATTTGTGCAATTGTAATGACAAGAGGGTTTCCTGGTATATGGCACTGTAGGCATCTCCCCGCAAGCTCAGAGGGCACATTCTGAGTGGGCTTTTGTAAGAGGCCATTTCACAACGAGCTGGCTTCACTTCAGAGTTAGGGATTTGATGCTTTTCAGCTACTTTGCAGACCAAAGACCATATAATACAGTTTTATTGTGTTATCCATCAACAGAAAAATCATGAGGCCAGGTATGAATGCAAGCATATGGAATTGATAAACTTGATGAATCTTCTGAAAACTAAAGAGCCTTGAGGGATTGGGGAAGGGTGGGGTGTACCTGTGTGTACACATACCCACTTCAGAAACAGCAGTGTTAGGTGGCTCCATGGGAAGACATACAGAATCAATCATTAAATACCTATACTTCACAAATACATGACTGAAGGTGCTTTAGAAAAAAGCAGGGGATCTTTAGCCACAAACTACTACAAGCATCTTAAATCTCACTATAAACATTTTAATGAATTAAATGACAGTATTCATTTTAATCTTATCACCTCTAAGTATCAAGACCTGAAATAAATGAAAATCCCTTTCTGCACCCCCCTCCCTTTTGTAATGGTTACAGTAAAAAAGATTAAGCTTGAAAGGACTATAAACTGCAGAAGCACTCTCTAATTTTCTTAGGAGGTTCTGGATAATGAAAACAGTTCAGACTTGAATGATAAACAGATCTGTTTCTTCTTTAATGGGACTCGGTCCTCTTCCCACTAAGATATAGAAAGCACGGTCCAGTCAGGCGAGAAGACATTTGGATCCAACTTCTTTTTGTGTGCAAGCCTCTGGTGACCCACTCAAAACGAAAAGTGATCAAAACAACATTTTTGGTTACCTCAGGAGAAACCAATCTGTTACTAAAGTGATGGGTGAACTAAAGCATCGTATTAGGTGCCAAAGAAAAACGAGAGTGCAAGCTGAGTGTTTTGTCTTCCACAGAGTAGGAGGTTCTCATACCCTCTAATTCATTCATTCATTCATTCAATAAATATTTATTTAGGGCCTGTTCCGTGCCAGGCACCAAAGAAAACAGTGCTGAGCAAAACAGTGTGACACAGCGCTGTCCCTATGGTCATGGAGCTTACAGTAGGGGAGATCGATGTTAAATTCAAATAAATCTGTAATACTGCTGTAGAAAAGAAAAGGCGCTATAAGAGAAGGAGTTTAGACTGGGGGTGGTGTGGGGATCAAAGAAGGGCACCTAGAAAAAAGTGACATTGAAGCTGAGAGGCCATCAGACCCCTACCACTTTAGAGGCAGAAAACCGTTTTGGCAAATGACCACAAATGGGATTTTAACTTTGCCTGTCGACAACTGACTGGGTTAAACCACCCCTTTTCCAGGGCATCTTTCTTCATGAGCACCCTATCTCATGAGCTCGCCTATCACTGTCTGACTCGACTACTCAGATCCTATTACCTGAGCACAAAAAGGTCTCACTATATTATGATTTATTATAATCTACAGCTTTCCTATGCATGGCCTAGAAATACCCAAAAATAATCTGCCAGAGACATGAAAAACAGAGACGGCTGCCAGCAGGAATATTACCTGGGAGGGCCAAGCGTTTAATAGCCCAGGCAATCACAAATCCTTTGCCCAATAAAGTGCCAAGTCCTCTGGGCAAAGCGGTTCCAACACTCCGGGTGTATACTAGATGGGACCCAGGGGGCCTAACGGTTAGTTGCCTACTTGCAACTGATGTTTGATCAGTAAATCGAGGACTGGATCACCGTTTCCAGTCCCCCGACCCTGCAGACTTAGAGGATCTGAGAAGTGGCCTTTGAGCATCACGGAGCGGAGAGCTCGCCAGGCTGGAGGAAGGGAGGCGGCAGAGAGAGGGTCAGGGTCGGGAGGAAGAGGGGTGCCAAGCGAGGCGCATCAGGCGCTCAGGACCCGAGGACGACACGCCAGGCCGGGTACTGGGGCGTTTCCCGCCCCCCCACCACGTCAGCCCCTAGCAAAGGCAACCCGGCCCCCGGCCGCCCCGAGACCCCGAGATTCCGGCTTCCCCGCGGCGGGGCCAGGTGGGCACCGCGAGCCCGGCGCAGGGCCGGAACCCACCAGCCCCCGGTACCCGCTTCCTCAGCGCAGAGGAGGGCGCGCTGGGGCGAGAAAATAGCCAAGACAAAACTCTCCCCGCCCACCCGAAAATGCAACCACACCCCCTTGCATCCCTGAGCCCGAGCCGCCCCGGCCGGCCCCCGCGATCCTCCGCCCAGGCTCCCGCGGGGTTCCCGTCCACGCCGCGCGGGCTCGGCAGGGACGCGGGCGCGAGTGGGAGTGAATGGGGGTGCGCGAGGCAGGCAGAGTGCCCACCGCGCTGTCACCCGCCGGGGCCCTGCCCCCGGGGCGCGCTCCTCAGCTCCGCGGTCCCGGGACAGGCGCGCCGCCCCAGGCGGAGGTGGGCACCCGGGCGCCGGGGCGCGGGCGGCCGACGTGTGCTCTTCGGATCTGAGCCGGGCCGGGCCGCCGAGGCAGCGTGAAAGTTGGCGGAGGCGGGCGCGGGGGTTGGGGCGCCGGGATCGGGGCGCGGGGGTCGGGGCGCCGGGATCGGGGTGCGGGAGTCGGGACGCGGCGGCTTCCTCCTCAGTAGTGGCGGCCGCGGCGGCTCAGCGCCGCCCGCTGCTGCCTTTGCTGCTGCTGCTGCCGCTGCTGCCCCGGGGCGACTCCTGCTGCTGCTGCTGCATCGCGGCCCGCTGCGCCCGGCTGCGCCGGGTTTCCTGCTCCCCGCGAGTGGAAATTGCGAAAAAAAAAAAAAAAGCGCCGCCCAGCCCAGCTCCAGGCAGCCGCGGCCGCGCCGCCCGCTCTCCCCTCCTCCTCGCCGCCGCCGCGATGCTCCTGCGGCTCCGCC